GGGCCGCCCTCGAAGGAGACGGTGATGAAAGTGGTCTTCTTGGAGCGCAAGCTCTCGGGGCCCCTGACGGCGAAGGCCGGGTGCTCCACCGCGTACTGGAAGGCCGCGGGCTGGAGGAAGACGTTTTTGAAGGGGATGGAGGTGGTGCCGCCGGCCTTGATGGGGAAGGGGCCCTGGGGCTTGGGCGGGAGGGCGAGGCCGAAGAGGGGGATGCTGTACTCCCCCCCAAGCGGGGAGGAGAGCTGCAGCGTGGCCCTGGCTTCGAAGGCCGCGGGCTGGAGGAAGACGTTTTTGAAGGGGATGGAGGTGGTGCCGCCGGCCTTGATGGGGAAGGGGCCCTGGGGCTTGGGCGGGAGGGCGAGGCCGAAGAGGGGGATGCTGTACTCCCCCCCAAGCGGGGAGGAGAGCTGCAGCGTGGCCCTGGCTTCGCCCAGCTGGCAGGGCTCGTAGGTCACCTCCAGGCTCACCTCCGAGCCCCCCGGGCTGGCGGGGGCCACGCTGATGGTCTTCTCCGTCTGGAAGTCGGCGCAGTTGGTCTGCGACAGGGGAGAGAAGAGACCACGGGGGCGGGTCACAAAAGCAGAGCCGGCACCTCGGGAGGAAACCGATGGTCCCCTGCCGTCATGCTGGCTGGGGTCCCCTTTCCCTCGCCTGTCACTGCAGCTCTCCCACCCACACCGTACCCCCGGTGAGTGCCCACGACGAAAGGCCGTAAGGACTGTCCAAACAGGCCGAGCAGGGACAACCTGCGCCCAAACCCCAAGAGACCTTACTGCCAGAGCTGGGGTTGAAGATGGAAGTCCAGGCACCACGGAAGCTGCAAAAGCAGCTCCAACAAGGGCAGCAGAGAGGGGTCTGCACGTGAGGACAGCGCAGCTGGGGACAAGCCCAGCGTTGGTGGGAAGACCCCCGGGGCTCACACGGCCATCTGGCTAGGCCAGGCCAAGCTAGAGGGGCAGGATCCCTCGACGGAGAGGGCTGATGCTGGCCAGATGAGCTGCCTCCCAGCGAGAGCCCAGGGCAGGCTGGGGTCACCTGGAGGAGGTAGTCTGTCTTCTGTCGGGTGTAATTCATGATTTTGGTGGCGATGGTCTGACTAGAGCCCAGCGTGGTGCAGAAGTAGAGGGGCTTCTCCGGCCTGCTCGTGGTGGCTTTCAGGTGCAGGTTGTAGTAGAAAGAGCCCAAGTCGCTGCTCTGGAGCACCAGCCGTCCAGTGCTCTCACCCATTTTCAGGGGCTGGTACTCAAAGACAAGATCGGCCTGGGAGGAACGAAGGGAAAAGCCACTGGGTCAGGCAGAGATGGGGAAGGCAGGGCCCAGGACAGGGGAAATCGGTCCCTGGTGTGCTCACGCAGTGCTGGAAGGCAGCCCTGCACCCTCCCTCGCTTCAACTCTTTCTCTCTGGGTCAGAGCCCTGCTGCATGTGGGAGAGAGTTCCCTTGGGGGGCCGTCCCCAACAGCTGAGAGCCCTCCAGCACGATCCCAGAAGCTTCCCACCCTAGAATGCTCCTATACTCCCCCCAGGCCACACCACACCTCCTATCAATCCAGGCTGCAAACAGCCTGCCAGTGGGGTGAGGCATGCCCTGCAGCCATTCTAAACTGAAAATACCCGCGCTAAAGAAGGAGCATGCGGCACAAGGACCTGCCACGTGAGGCCTGATGGGAGCGTATCACGAGGGGTAGCATGGCAGACTCCACCAGCGCAGGGCGATTCCCACTAGGGATGTTCTCACACGCTGCTTCCCCTCCAGATTATTAGCAGGTGGGAGCTGTCACCCTCGGAAAGCAGCCCCAGATGGTTCATGTAGGGCATCACCCCCACTTGCTCCCAGAAAGACGGCAAGGAGAGGAGAGAGTACCGGATGAGCTTTGCTCCTACCTCCGACTGCGCAGGAACAGTGAAATGTGGGGGAACGTTGACGTCGGGCACTTTGCAATCTATGGCAAACGTCACTGGGACGGGCAGAGGGTTGTCCACCTTGACGGTGGAAGACACACTCTGCCGAATAGCGGTGGTCATTTCAACAGTGCCGATGGGCCCCGAAGCGGTGGCCTTGAAAGTCACCATGTAGAACAAGTACTCCTCGGTCACCTCGTTGAGGAAGGTCACCTGAATCAGAGAAAAAGGGAAGCGCTGGTCATTCTGCACAGAAAAATATACCAGCTGTGCTAAGCCAGCCCAAAGAACCCCCCCACTTCCAAGAACGGCCGTAAGCAGCCACCTAGGAAGACTGCAAGACCGGGGAAAACACGTGTGGTATTTCCACACTTCATGGTCTCCTGATCGCCCATTGCTTCCAGCTCACCAGTGTCCTGACCCACCTGTGCTTAGCAGCCCTCAGTGGGACCCTCACAGAGAGACTGACACGCGAGTGGGGTGTGTAGAGAGGTGCCTGCTGTTCAGTACCCACCTAGGACACCTACAGTCCCACCAGTGGGCATGTGGAGGCATGAATACAGGAGTGTAGCTTCTCAGTGAGAAAACAGCTCCTTGAAGGGCCCCGCAGCCTGGTGTCCTCACTTACCATTGTGTTAAAGACTCCTTCCTTGTAGGAGAGGAACGTGAGCTTGTAGTCCTTCTTGGCAGAGCCTGGCACATCAATGTATTCCAGCCCCTGCAGCACGGAACTGCTTTCCAGGTTTTCCGGTTTGAGTATGTCCACTACCACGAGGAACCTGTGGGTGAGAAGGATGCAGTGCAGGTCAACAGGAAGGACTCCTACAGAACACCCGACGTGGCGGGGTACAACACAGCCCCCACACAGAGGGAGCCAGCTCTCATCCACCTTGGAGGAAAGCCCTCCAGGATGGGTCTGCACAGGCAGAACGTGGGTAGTGTGATCCCAGACACCTATGGCCAGAAACGGCCAAGGAGAGTGAAAAGCTTGCAGGAAGGAGCTTCCAAGCAGTGGGAAGCCCTTCCTTGCGCTGCTGCAGGGATTGCCGATGGGACGGGACTTCCTGGGCTGGACTCACCTCTGTGGTCTGTTCAGCCAGTTGGAGACGGGGATGAGCTCAGTGTAGGAAGTCCTACACGGCACCTGCCGGAAAATGGTCCCTGAACACTTTGGGGCCTCAGCATTCCCTTGCAGGAGGTAGTACAAGCCTGTCCCATCCGGCAATGGGAAGAAAATGGAGCCCTAGAAGATAAGTAATAGGATAAGTGAGCTCTCCTCCTCTCTGTCTGGACCAGTTATTGGCTCTTGAGCACACTTGGACAGTCCCATGTCTCAGGCCGTCACCTGAGCAGCTTTGAGCAGGTCCAGCTGGCAGAGCTGTGACCGCAGCCCTGTGTCCTGTGAAGATGGCAATGTCGCAGGCGCTCGGGCTGGCACAGCCACGGGACAGAGAGGCAGCACGTCTGGGCAAAGCAAGGGAACACCAGCCCTACAGCAGAGCCGGTCTGACCATCCTAACACCCCTTTACTTGCCTTACTAACTCGGGCGCATCAGCTGCCAGCCCTGTGCTCGTGCAGGGACAGCCGTGGTAAGGGGACGGCAGTCCCCGCTAACCTCGACTGCCCCGGCAGTGCTCCGGCATTATTGCCAAGAGAGCAGCCTGTAAGCTAACCCAGCAGGGTCCCACCAGCCAGGGTGGGCCATGAAAAGCTCATATCCAGCACTCATTTCAGGTGCCAACGGGTCACCTCCAGAGCAGCTGAAGACTGCAGGACTCTTCCTGCAAGGCTGTACGTTAAAGAGATACCGAGCGTGGTATCTGGCCTAAACTCTGGCGTGATGGAAGATCAGCTGGAGGGGGCCAAGGGGCAGGTGTCTGACACCCACCTCCAGCGCCCCAGAGCTGTTCTGAACCGACCCCCACGATTTAAGAGCTTGTCCCTGGTGTGTCTCAGAAATAGCGCCCATGGAAACAGAGGGGCCAGTCACCCCACCTGCCCAGCCTGAGACCGGCAGGACGGGCTCTTTCCAAAGCTCCTGCGTTACTGAAGGTGACGTCAAGAGAGAGCCCTGTGTCGTTTCCCACCTGACTGCTCGTGGCCAGGGGGGCACTGAGAAATGGCAGGGCAGCTTCGCCCCTCTTGTTCCCTGCACACTGCAAAAGGACCCCAAGCAGGGCAGTGCTGGCAGAAGTCGTGCCTAGGGCTCGGGGAGCCTGGGCAGCCCACGGGGCTGAGCACGGGGCTCTCTGAGCCCCTCTGGGCTGCGCAGGCAGGGACCAGGAGCTGCACAGAACAAATTTCGTTTCCTGGACCTTCAGACAACCTGGCTTTTTAGGTTAGCTGCTCCAACACGTTTCGTGGTCAGTCCAGACTTCCCACCTGAACTTCCCTTACACCTGGCCTCTAGCCACCGAGAAATCCAGCTTCCAGCATAGGATCACAAGATAATTTCAGTTCGTAGGGGACCTCTGAAGGTCATCTCGTCCAACCTCCTGCCCAAAGCTGGGTGAACTATGAGGGTCATGCTATGAGGGTCAGCATGCTGGCACAGCTCACATACCTGATGCTTCTTGTTCTCAGAGCTCATGGTTAGGGGTTTGTAAGTGATCTTGTAGGGCTTGTTTTGTTGGTTGGCCTCTAGATGGAAAAATTCAGGCCCCTTCCAGTGTTCCCCCTCAATGACAGGTTGCACGGTCCAGGCCTCATTGCTCGGGTTGGACAGGAGGACGGTCTGACTGTGCTTCTCGCGCACGTCGCATGTGAAAGTCAGTGTCTGCAACAGAGGAGCACAGAGGCTGCTTGGTCATACCGAGGAATCCTTTCCACTCAGACTCTGACTAGCTCCACGAACTTTTCCTCGTCATAGGCAAAATTTCCATTTGAGCCGTAGCTTTTGGTGTAAATCAAGTTGTCAGTTCTTAGAGAAGGGAGAGGAATGAGTCTTTTGCATGCTGGGTGAAGGGGGCTGCCGCCTCCCAAGGAGGGGAGAAATAAAACGGCAAGTCCTGGAAGGATCTCTCTCCTGTGCAAGGACAAGACCTGCAGCCGCACAGCCCCTTCGTGGGCAGGCTGAAGAGCACCTCTGGGCTTTCTTTTGGGAGCAAGAGTCGACACCCCCCAGCTGCACCCTCCTGCAATGCCCGTGAGGGCCAGGAGTCCTCCACGCTGCACCCCTGGGCCCCAGGAGCTGGATGCAGATGCCTTGCCCGCCCCTAGTGCTGAATGCGTCCCCCTGCCCCGACAGGGAGGAAAAGTGTGGCTGCGGGTGCAATACTGTGGGTATAGCTGGGTGGCTCTGTGGGCAGAGACTCCGAAGAGCCCTGCAGGGCGTCCCCACGGCAAGGGTGCTGCAATGCAGAGCCAGGACAGCTGAGGTGCTCGCTGGAGGAGCAGCACCTTTAACATGGGAGGAAGGCAATTACAGGGCTCAGAAATTTTGGGAATCCTGCCCAGTGGTTTTCTCAGCTCTCTGGGATACCCAGGCAGGATGATAGGCAGGAGTGAGTCTATGCACGTAAATATCCTCCAGTCCCTGCCCTGGGAGAGATGTGGTGCAAATGGTGGGGTAAGGGGGGCGGGGGGGGCCATCCTGTCCCTGCTCTGGTTACCTCTTTGGTCACAGGGGGCTCC